TTAAGATATAGAAAATCAAACCATATATCATCATACAAACTTTGCTCTTTTTAGATTTTCCATTGAAATGATTCCGATTATTATGAGTTATTGCATTTTGATTCCATCCAGCAGCTGAAATATTGAAACATGATGAGACTGTTTTGATAACACCTGATCAGTTTTTTTTTATTATTATTATTTTTAGATCCAGAATGAGCTGACAGATTATGATGACAAACCTGTGCCAGCGCACATGGTGTTGTTTGTGTGATAAATGTGATTTAATTTGAAGCGCTGTGTGGCACGGTGGGTGGAGCAGGTGCTCCATGTATCAGAGGCTGACAGGTCCTGGGTTAGACTCCCAGCCGGGGACATTGGATGCCTGTCCTTTCTTCTGCCCTCTTGCCTGCAGAACTGTCAGATAAAAAAAAAACAAACAAATATTCAGCTTTTTTTTGTATTTAGTTTATATATATATTAAAAAATCGCCTTAGCTGGCTTCTTGCAGCACGGATAAGCAGCTGGTCTACTTGTTTCCCTCTTTATCTCTAAGGCTAAATCCCTCACAGAGGGAACTCTTCCAGGATCCAGGATCTCCCAGCAAGAGTCAGAGCACATGATAGCCATGTAAATCAGCAGCTTTGCTGTATGATTCAGGTCTTCTTCATCACAACAGACCGGAGGAGTGCCTAGAGTACTCCAGACGAGGCTCCAATCTGTCTCTTTGTCTCCTGTGAAAAACAACTTTTCATTACTTGTGGAGAAGCTAAGACACAAAGGCTCTCCACCTGAGAACCTGCAAACAAAACACACTTTTCCAAATGATTAAAAATCAGATTTTTGCATTGATAAAGTTGTTTCTTTTAAAACTTAATATACCTTCAGAGGTATTATGGCATGATTGGAGGGATAGATTTGATGCGTGGGACATCATCACATCCATCCATGAGACATGTTTCTGTTTTTTTTATATTTTTTTAATGCAGGGAACATGAGATAAACTGGTAGCTGACAGACTGTTTTTGTTCTTGAAGTAAAGCTAGACACCTCAAGGACATCAAAACATGAAACTGTGTGGGAATCAGAATGAACAACCAATGTACAGCATGTACTTTTATCTATGCTCCCATGTCCAACCAGCTGTGCCACACAGGCTGGATTATGCGCTCTCAATGCGGCTCGTTAGTCAGACTAAAAGGCCCTTTTTAAAATGAAAACCTTGAAATGAATACTTAACAAACCTTCTGGAATGAAATGTTTATTGTATAGATGCTACTCTATGATCTTGTATGACATGTTTTAAATAGCTATAATCCAAAACTCACCATTTGTTACTGGAATAAAAACCTGAAAACGGTTTATATGTAGTCAATGTTTACATTGTGGTTTACTTAGTGAATTAAGTTACTGTAAATAAATAAGCTTGTGATATTCAAAGCTAATAAATACAAACTAAATGTTTACATTAACATCTCAATTAGATTTTATTATAAATATTGCTTCTGGCTGACCTTGAAAAGACTGACCAACGTCTTTCCATCCTACAAAGCTCAATCCATTTATCATTTTTCATTGCATCCAAGTACAGTACAATGAAATTTGTTTTTTGCATTTACCCCAGGTACTGCTGCTGTTCAGCAGAGTTAAAATCTGTGGGATTCAAACCAGGCAAACTGCAGCTTTCTCAGGTCACCCCTCCCCCACACACTAAATGTGTCCAAATAAATAAAACAGGCAGAGAGAGCCTGAAAGCGAAACACTTAGATAATTAGCTAATACTGCAATCAAAGCAGTTCTTTACTGTGTGCAGATTGTGCACAGTGATAATGAAGCGACACTAGGGCAATGCTGTGCCGGGCAGCTATATTAATTAGAAAATGGTAGATTTGTATGACAGAAAATTTATAAACTTGTGTCAAACTGAAAGTCTAACCCAGACTTTATTATTTTATTCTTTTTTTTTGTAAAAAAAAAAATTGTGATAAAACTAAACAAAATCAGCTTGTTTTGTTTTTGCTGCGGGTTGCACGGGTTTTTGATCTGATCTGGAATTAGTTGCATAGTTTCTAATCCGCTTAAACTTGGACATTTCTAATTTTTAACCTGCCTGTTTTTCATTATTACCTGTGCCTATTTTTTTTCTTTCCGCGATGCATTTCTTTTTTCTTTTGCTGAACAGTGCAATTCTAAAAATGTTGTTCTATTTATTTTTTGCCACAGTTGCTGAATGCTACTTCTTTTTTAGTATCAATAAAACTCATGAGGCATCTTCTTTCTATTTAAATTTCAGACAGAGAAAGATCAGTGCCTTTGAAATATAAAACAGAATCAGAAGACTTAAAGCAAATTAACAGTTATTCATCACTTTGAAGACTTACAGATAATTATTCAATGGATTTATGAAGAATAACTTGTCTTCATGAGATGGTGATTGTTTTTGTTAAAACTATTCTTGTCCAAAAGATGTTTTTGTCTTTTTGAATTGCCTATATAGGTCTTCCTAAAGCATTTTTTAATGTTTAATGTTTTATGGACCATTTGTCCATGTATTGCCTCTAAACTTAGAGGCATTTAAATCATGATGGACAGATGAAGTCAGAAAAGGAGGAAATATAAAAAACAGCCACTCATTTAAAGCTTCTGCTTTTACTTATTTTAAAGCTACTTATTAAAAACTTTTGGTTTTTGTGTCAGTTTGTGTTTCATTTTCAATTCTTCTGTCAGACTGAATAAGCTGTAAGTTGAATCTACCAAACAGAACAACACAGACTATATTAACTTTGATGTGATGTGGTATAAACAAACAGATTACCAGAAAAAAAAAAATTGCTATAGAAGAAAAATAAATATGAAGCTCTTCAATTCATTGTAATAGAACTTAAACTGCTCATGGAAAGAAGGATTTTTGTAACTGAAAGACATTTTTATAATTGTCATGGTTTTTGTACAGGAATATCTTAAAATATCTTCTTGGTGTGATGATATCTCAACAACAACAACTGTTACCAAAGAAACAGTCTATATATCAAAAACATAAGCATTAAAATCTACTTTCCCTCAGTATGTCGCCACTGGTCATCAACAGTTCAGCCGTAGAGGTGGTCAGCAGCACCATATTCTGCACCAGCAACTTACCCAGGAGGCCACAAAAGAAAAGAAAAGCAAGATGACATCTAAGACCTCACTTACCACAATTAAGAACATTATTAAAGATAGATCATAATAAAACAGTACAGGGAAAGAAAATGCATCCAGGTGGAGCTTCAAGATTGAAGCAACAAAATACATAAAGGCCCGTCAAACATTAGTAAATAAAACCCCAAAGATGATGATCATTATTAGTATGACAAAAAAGAGGAAACACTGTTTAAAGGCACTATAATTAATAAGCACAACAAAACTATTGTTTCTTCAAGTAGGGATTAAACATACTTTTCATGAAGCCAATATTTCTGTTGAAAACTTTTCTTTATATAGGACTGATATATTATTCTATGTTAGATATGTTTTTTTGGCAAATTAAAACAGTTAATAGAAAGGCTTTAAAACATCGGTCTGCTTTTAATAAGTCTGTGAACATTGTGCTTCACTTTATGACTCAAACTGCTGAAATAAATAGAGCTTTTTATACATAAAGACACCTGTCCAAGCCATACAATCAGTAAGAATCCAACTACTAACATGGCAAACACCAAAGGGCTACCGGGAAATGCAGCCAAGAAGCTTAGTGGAAAAAAGGTCCACTGTCGGAGCAATCATTAGAAAATGGAAGAAGTTCAACATGACAGTCAATCTCCCTCAGACTGGGGCTCCATGCAAGATCTCACCTCATGGGGTCTCACTGATCCTAAGAAAGGTGAGAAATCAGCCCAGAACTACACAGGAGGAGCTGGTTAATGAGCTGAAAAGAGTTGGGTCCACTGTTTCCAAGGTTACTGTTGGTAATACACTAAGACATCATGGTTTGAAATCATGCATGGCATGGAAGGTTCCCCTGCTTAAATCAGCACATGTCAGGCCCAGTCTTAAGTTTGCCAATGACCATTTGGATGATCCAAAGCATCATGGGATAAAGTCATCTGGTCAGAAGAGATGAAAATAGAACTTTTTGTCATGATTCCACTAATCGTGGTTGGAAGAAGAATAATGAGTATCAACCCAAGAACACCATACCTATTGTGAAGCATGGGGGTGGTTGCATCATACTTTGGGGGTATTTTTACGCACATGGGACAGGGCAAGTGCACTGTATTAAGAGAGGATGACTGAGGCCATGTATTGACAGATTTTTGGGAACAACCTCCTTCCCTTAGTTAGAGCATTGAAGATGGGTTGAGGCTGGGTCTTCAATGACCTGAAACACAGCGCCAGGATAACCAAGAAGATAATCAAGGTTCTGGCGTGGCCTAGCCAGTGTGCAGACCTAAACCCAATAGAAAATCTTTGGAGAGAGCTCGAACTCTTTGTTTCTCAGTTACAGCCCAGAAACCTGACTAATCTAGAGAAGATCTGTGTGGAGGAGTGGGCCAAAATCCCTCCTGCACTGTGTGCAAACCTGGTGAAAAACTACAGGAAACGTTTGACCTCTAATTGCAAACAAAGGCTACTGTTCAAATTATTAACATTGATTCAAATACTTATTTGCAGCTGTATCAATCAAATAAATAGTTTTTAAAAAATCATAAATCGTTATTTTAGTTTTTTTTAGGTAGGTGCATTGTAGGTGCATGTCACAGTGGACATGCACCTACAATGATAATATCAGACCCCTCCATAATTTCTAAGTGGGAGAACTTGCAAAACAGCAGGGTGTTCAAATATTTATTTTCCTCATTGTATTAATATTCTCTTTCATTACATGGATTTGTATGCCCTATGACCTGAGAACTCCTTAAGGACTGAATTCCAGTGTTGAACAAACCTGATCTTTCTTCATCTCTTTTAATCTCTCTCCATAGTTTTTCTAACTTGCATGATAAAAATAAATAAGCCCACAGACAGAACACAGTTTAATGCCATTGAAAATTTATTGTGATATCTGATAGTTTACATTAGAGTGAAAACAGACGTGAAATGGCTTCACTAAGACAGAATGCAAAGCAATGTTCTCAAATAAAAGCATATTTGTCTTTAAATTTAGAGGAAGAAACAAAACAAAAAATAAAACAGGCACAACATAAAGCCATTATAAATACAACATGCTGTAGACCTTAAACTGGAGTTTTAACAGTCCTAAGAAAAGATCCTGTGCAGTCTTTTCCCTGGTATACATTTCCCGCCTTTGATCGACATCCTTTCAGGTGACAGAGCTCAAAAAGCAGGCAGCCAGCATCACAGCATAACAGAAAAAAAAAGGAAAAGTAAACAGTTTTCAGCAGCAAATACCCACAACTTTCAGCCTTTGATGCTGTTAAGCTCAGAGAGTCTAAACATTCTGCAGGAAGGTGACGCCGTTAGCGACACACTTTCTAGCATTTAAATTTGGTATAGAGGTTGAATCTCTTGGAGCTGATTGCCTTCGTTCCTGACGCGCTCAGCAGACCGTGGTTATTATTTGGTACACATCGGTGACACTGGCGCCTGCTTTTTGTTGGCTAATCTCGTGAAAGGGAGAGTTTGGACGCTCTTCGGATACTTTGACCACAGCTGGCGGCATCCCGTAGGAGCCTTCGAACAAACTGGCTGCCTACGAGTAACAGGACGGGAAAATCGTACGCATCCTAAGTAACAATTTTGGCTGAGAAGAAGCAAATCAGCTTCCGAATCGAGCAACAGTTGCTGTATCAGATCAGACCAAATTTATGACATTTGTCCCATCTGAGTGTGTGTGTGATGCTACATTGGAAGGAAGTATGATTATCATTCTTCAATGGTGCATTTAAGTTCATCAACTCGAATAACTTATTCATGAAGAACAAATATATGAATGTAAAATCTAACCATAAATACCCTATATGGCTATAAATCAGCTTCTGAAAGCTGCCAAACAGCCTTAGCAGTCAGTTTATCATTATAAATGTTTCTGGAACTAAGACTGGGCCTGGTAGTTCCAATAAATTATGGCACACCATATTGTGAGCCCTAAATTCAGTATGGACTGTTTGAATGCACCATTAAAGACCAACTTCAGGATTAAGCTATGGTTACATGCATCTTGGAGCACAATTCCTTTTTTTTTTTTTTTGCCTAAATTGTCCAGGGCTGCACAAACAGATTAGACAACTGGCTGTAAAAAAAATTGTGAGGATGGAAGTAAACATAGGGTACGTTTCAAAACATCTTTAAAACAGGAGACGGTGAGGCTATAGTCAAGAGGACGAAAACCAATCGACGCAACACATCACATTAAATAGAACATAGAAGTTAACAGGTCATTTTTGGACAAAAGTAAACATGTTGGTGAAATACAATCAGATAAATACAGCCAGCACTGCTGCGAAGGACCTCCAACATGTCCGCTGCCTGAAAGCGCTCGAGTATACAGGAGACACTAACTGTGGTGGTGAAAGGGTCTCGATAAAGGCTTTCCCTGCGACATGGCGGGAGATTCCAGCTCGCCCTTGACGTCTACACGGCTTAACAGAGACCTAAACGACAGCCCTCTAAATGGGCTCTCACCACAAAAGCTAAACAAACAGGCTAACAGAAAAAAAGAAAAACAAAAACGGGGATAAATCACTTCCAAAAAAACTAAACAGGCTCCTGACCTCAGATCAGCAGGAGCAGAAGTGAAAAGCAGACAGCTGCAAAAAAAAGAAAATAAAAAGAGGAACAGAAAAGGAGGAGGAAAAAAAATGAAGAGAAAGTAAACATTCACTTTCATGTGCAGCCATGCACGTGGGCTGAAACACATGCAAGTATGCACACACATACACGCAGATTCACACACTCTCAGACAGAGGTACAGTGAACAAAAGTGCTTCAAGTTGGGGAAGTAAAACAACTAACCCAGTAGAAATACGTATAAAACATTAAATATGTTACCTTATGTACAAAAACTATCACGGGCCAATATCTCAGCGGTTTCGGTATTTAAATTTTCAAGTAAATATCATTGCTATCTATTAAGGGTTTGCATTGTCAACGTTTTTTTTTTCTGTTTTTTCTTTTTTTGAATAAAAGGTCGGTGTGATCTGACTGACCTTGCCGGCAAAGTAATCAATCACTGCTGATTTTTTTAAACTGCCATCCTTTAAACCAACGACATACGGCCAGTTCTCAGCGGGTACAAGGAAAAAATAAAAGCCCCGGGCATTTTACCTAGTTACAGTCTTTTCCTGGATGTTTACTCTGAGAAATCATATATTTAATATCTGTTTATTTGTGCACTTCTAGGTGTTATTATAGAAAATATATACGTATATCTATATATATGTATATTTAGACAAAAAAAAGGGCAGAATTGTCTAAGGATTTCAAGGGCCGTGTTTAACCAGAACAAGGGAAGACGCATCGGTTTCACATGGTTTCTCTCCAGTTATGCACTGCACAACAGGAAAAAAAAAAAAAAAACGAGGGAAAAGGAGGAGGCTGTTCATGATTCCAAAAGGCGCATAATTCAGTCGGTTTAGAGGCAAAAACTAAAATAGAAATCTAAGATGATTACAAACAGAAAAAACAAAGACAATAGGCAGGATTTTTCTGAAAGAGCGGCAAGGAAACAGAGACTACCTGTACTCAAATTTGGTCTAGAAACTGGGAGGAAAAGACACAATATGGAGCCAAAATTGAAGCAAAACTAATCAAAATGAAATTGAATCTAAGTTTTGTCTGTAAAAAAACAAAAAGGGCAAACAAAGAAAAAAAACAAATATTTTTGCCTCTAAACCGAGATGAATAACGGGCCTCGGCAGCGTGCAAAGGATGTAGCGTCATTCAAGTATGTCACTTTTTAATGCTTAACCACACACACACACTATGCATATACACACACAGTAATATGCATATACACATAAGTGCATGACAGCAACTATATATATATATATATATTTATACCAAAACCATGTTCCAATCAATTTCTACATACTACGAACAATATCATAGAACTGATGGATATGTAATCATAGTATGTGCATTTATATTCATATGTAGCGGTGTTCCATCGTTTCATTACTAGACAATGGGATAATACAGTGAGGACACTGATGTCAGCTTCCCAACTCTTAAAAAAAAAAGATTTCTGCTCCTTTTTCATGTCTCTTTCATTCATGGTTCTGCTGCAAAATGGGACCAGCCACAATCGCAATTAGCCATACACTACAAATATTTATATATCTATATATTCATATATGCATTTATATATATATATATATAAATCAAGTTTGATACCTGTTTATGTCAAACAAAATACTAGGTGCTGCTTTCGATTCTTTTTGGGTGCTGAAAAGTACCAGGAAGGGAGAATGAAAGAAAGTCCACAAAGAGAGATAAAAACATAAGGAAACATCAGGTATAAAATCCAACATAACTGAAACCCCACTTTTTAAAAAAGGGAAAAAAAACCTGCTACATGTTTGTAACTACAATAAACTCCCTTTGCCCATGTCTTCTCAACCCATCCCTGATTGCTCATTTGGACAATAGCGAAGAGGAAAGAAAAAAAAAAAACCCCAAAAGAACAACAAATAAACCAAACAAATATTATGGAAAATAAAATGCTAACCAGTAACATCCATCTGCCATCAAACCAAAGCTTCACCAAACCTCAAAAAAGTTAAAACTATGGCATATAACTTCAAAATAATAACAAAGTCTTCAAAGATGAGCGGAATAAAGAAAAACAACAAGCTGTCTCTTTCAGTGAAGTCTCTCCGTTCACACAGCGGTTCGCCACATCACCACAATCACTAGTAAGCGTGTTTCGGTGGGGCCGAGGCGAGGTGTGGCGGGGGTGGGCGGCGACTACGGTGAGGGAACCCAAACGCTCAGCGGCGGCGAAGGAGAGCACACAATCTTCAAGGTGGTGTGAGGTTTTTAAGTCCACTTCCCAATGCATTCGTTATGTCCGATTCTCACGATGAGCAGGTGGGTGTGTGCAGGTGAGTGGAGGTCTTTTCTTTTAAAGGGAAAAGGGTGTGAATGGGAGCAGGGAGAGGGATGCAGGGTCAATGGTTGTCGCTCCACTCAGTTCAAACCAAGAGCATTCCAAGGTCAGGAAAACGGATTCAAATAGATGGGATGTTGCACCGCTGTCACTCCCATCCGTTGTCCTTGATCATGTGAGCCAGCTCGATGATGAACTTTCCCTCTTTGTATTTTTGACTGCTTTCAAATGCATGTTCCTGTGAAAAAACAGGCAAAAAAAAGAATTAGTTACAAAAGCTTAGAAAACTTTGATTGAAAAACCTTGACCCGAAATGACTGAACGGATTACTAAAAAGAAAGTTTTGTGTAATTTTTTGTTAAGTTCTAAATAAGTAGCTCCAAACGTGTTTCTAGTTTGGATATCACTTTACATACAGACAAACCAGGAAGTTAAAAATAGTGAAAAATCTGCTGCTCTCATAGAGATTTTATTTGTTTTGCTTTTTTTAGCACCTCAATATATCAAATCAAACAGATTTTAACAAAAAAAGATGGTATCAGTAAATGCAAAATCTGGTTCTCGCATAATGATTTAATTTAATCAAAAGCAAAAAGAGGCTAACCAGACCTCGCTACAGCATCTCCTTCAGATTTCAGTAACACTCACAAAAGAGTGACACTCTTTTGAATTAATGTTCTTTCTCTAAAATATATACTGGTTTTTCCCACCTTGCAAAAGATTCCACTATTTTCCGATCAGTGCCCAGAATACTTTCTTAAAACGTTTTTTTGTGAATTTAAAATGCTTGTGTTCTGGGTGAGCAGAGATTTTCCTCTCTGTTCCATCATGAACACCAATCTTTACCAACCTGAAAAACATAATGTCTGCAGCTTTGCAGATTTATTTTTATTTTTAATTGGTCTTCCTGGATGATTTTGCAGGATCAACACCAATGAGAAGGTTCTCCACTGTTCCATGTTATCTCCAAGAGTGGGTAATCGTTCTCACTATTGATCACTGCAGTTCCCAATCCTTAGGAATGGCTTTATAACCCCTTACACACTGTCATTTTTAGCTGATCTTCAATTTCTTTGTGTTATGATGTTGTTGTTTTTAATTCTTTAAGCCTACTTCATGTTGTCAGATAGGTTCTTACGAGATAGGGCAATGATCCTGCCCTCAGGATCATTTTCCTAGTAGGCACCTCACTTATAACTGGTCAGTGCAATTATTAATTCAATTAAATTGAACTCCTCATGAACTCCTCATGAACAGTCTCAGTTGTAACTGGATAAAACTGGACTGAAATAGATTACATGTAGATGGATTTGATTTGGTCCAGTTAGCAGATTCTGTAAAACATCTGTTGTAAATTGATGCTTTAAGAACAAAATTAGAACAGATAAACTACATCAGAGTGAATCATCGTTGCATAAAGATGATATTTTTGAGCCTTTTTTTGTTTTCTAGCCAAAAGCTTGAAAGACTGAAAGCAAATGACCAATACAGAGTAATTTTAAAGAGCTCTCAAGCTCTATCTCTCAGGTTCTTTTTCCTGAAAAGAGATTACTCTGGACAAACTCTTTAAATAACACTTCATATCTTAAATGTATTTAATAACCAGGAGACATGACAACTGATTTTGATATAAATTGTAATCTTACTCAGATCAGAGAAATTGCTTAGAATTTACAGAATGGCAGCTGCTCACCTCCGGGCTCACCTCTCAGGAAGTGGCCCCGATTAACAGTTAAAAAGGCCTTTTATACAACTCCAGTCTGCCACTTTATCACATTTTACATCATACATGTTAGCAGATGATTAGACATCCATGGCTCCAGCCTTATCAAAATATTACCCTTCGTTCTTAGCTGGAGGACACCGCTCTCATTCCATTTCCAAATCTTTGCAATGTACAAAATGAAGATTATAACTATATATCCAGAGAGGGGAACTGTCTTAATTAGATAAACTATTGTGGAAAATATCTCTTCTGACACGCAACAGGCAGCCAATAACAAGGTTTAATAAACTCACACATCATCAATGATCATTTTCCTAACAGAGCATTCAAATCTGTTGTAATATAGTGGAATATCTGTATTATAAAAATAAATAATATAAACTTCAACACCCAACAGCCCTTGTAAAGGTTCTAACACCAGTTAGGGTTGCAATACAAATTGAAATGGAAAGGAGATTGCTTTTTTCAAGCACTTTTAATCCAACTTTTTGGGGTTTTATCGGAAATAGCAGTCTACTTCACTTCACACCATAATGAGAGCAACTAACTGCTTAGAAAATAGCCTTAGCTAAGATCTATTAGGAATATTTTCTTTTTTGAGAAAGGATATATGAATAAAATTGAGAGGCAAGTTTTTTTTTTCTAGAAGCTCAAGAAAAAGAAAGCAGTGCCAGAAATTCTTTTATTTCCTTAAACATCATTTCCCCACATGTGCGAAACTGATGTTCTGAGCAAGAATAAACTTACAGCCCTGGAAGCCATTTCCGATGCTTTTAACTAAATCAAAAAAAGAAAAACCAGCAAGGGCAGACGTCTTAAAAAAGGGCAGCAGCTCGCCTTATTTCAAGCAACCAACATAAAGAGACAGCAGGACACAGCAGCTCACATTTTTTTTTTGGGGGTGATGCAGGGAACATCCTGACAACAGAAAATGGTTTCTGACCAAACTCATTTGTCAAATTTTAACATCCCATCTCGTTTAGAGCTGTGTGATTTCCGGCTGAGGCCTTGATCCTTCTCGTCATCAAAAGGATCTCGTGCGTCAGCGTTTTCGCTCCTCGCCCCGCTTCTCCCAGTAAACCTGCTCGCCCCCGCTGCGATCTGATTGTTTCCGTCACCGGAGGAGTCCCTGTCTTCCACTTTGCTCAGTTATTTTACACTCCCCTCTAGTCTTTTCAGACAATTACCGGAACAAGACTCTTCAAAATGGTGTGACATTTAATCACTGTAGAGTCTCTGAGGAACCAGTCTGGCTGTCTGCAGCCAACCTTTTGGTGCTGTAATTATGTTGTGCGCTGAGAAACCACATAGTGCTCAATCGCAGCGCCTTAAGACAACCCGAACAAAAGTGTCATGGTGGTATTAAAGAGCCCTGCCTTAATGGGGCTTGCTTTGCTCCTTTGACCTGTAATGACATAATTTTTCAGCCCGCAATCCAGAAAAACCACGTCGTTGCGCAACAATATGATGGCAGCTTTAGGGGGCGATGCTTAAGGAGAAAGTTTTCCAGAATGAGTGACTTACATATTTCCAGCCCAGCGTGGTTTTACAGTTTTCACAGTAGATATCAGCCACAGCGTGTAAACCTGTGAGGAGAACCCGCTCCTCAGCTGGCCCGCAGCCCACATTCACCCTGAAAACAACAAGAGAAAACACAATCAGTCATCTACAAAAGATTCAACCAAAGAAAATAGCTAAAAAACATAATGCTGCTTAAAGTATCATAATTATGGGTCTGTTCGAGTGACATTTTTTGATGCATATGTTTATTTAGTAGATTGACAGCTAAGAGAAGAAAGAATAGTACTTCCACAGAAACATTAACAACATCCACTACAGTCTGCCTTTTATTATAAAAGCAGATCGATGATCCTTATAGCTGGCTACGGTTATAAAGGTTCAATAAACAAATTGTTGTTGTTTTTTTTTATTTACACATCCATTTAAATACACAAGTCCATAACAAATTGCTTTTCAACAAGCAAACAGCCCAAAATTTAGGTCCACTAGGTTGATTCTAACCCCCATTTTGTAAGCAGGGGCTTTTCTCAAACCTACTCTCATATCAAAAACACAAAACCAATAAAAAGCAACCATTTCCTGCTTATATATTTAGTTTAAAGAAATAATTGATCTGAAGAAGTTAAGGCGTTTCATTGCTGATCAACAACTGATGATTTTAAAGTATTTTTATGACCTGCTTTCAATCCAATGTAAGTCTACCTTTCCTACAGTCAGGTCAGATTCAGTCCGTAGACATTTGGCAAATTACAATTTTCCCAGTAAAATGTGCAATCATATACATAAGCATTACTTTGATGCTTTACCTGCATAAATTATTAGAAATAAACTGATACCCAATGGTTACATAAGTTAATACAAAGTGTTTGTTTATAGTTTGAAATTAGGGCTGCAACTAACGACTAATTTGCAAATCAATTAATCTGTTGATTATTTATTTTCAAATAATTGGTTAATGAATAATCAGATAGCAAAAGGTTCCTTAGAGAAGTTTTTTTATGATAAACTTTTGCACCGAAGGACCTCTGGATGGAGCATATTGATGGATCACAATATAATTTTTTTATCTTAAATGCAAGATTCTTTATACTTCTTTACAATCTTGGTATAATTACTAATCTAAGTAAATTGTTCTGTCAGCTAAAAGCATGTTTTAGAGTCTCTACACTCCAGTAAAGCAATAATGGAGTTCTAAATTAATTGATGATTATTTTAATAATCAGTTAATCACGATTAATCCCATTAATTGTTTCAGCCCTATTTGAAATAAAAGCAAGTTGTGAAAACTTGGCAGAAAGCTGTTTAGAGTTTGAAATGATGCCAATAATTTAACTATTTACCATAAAATAAAACATCCTCACTTATTCTGTTTGATGCAACAGCCTTTCAGTGAGGAGGCGCTATCCTTAAGCAAGCTAAAGACACCTTCCAATCTCCCTCTAACTAGATATACTGAAAATACTTTAAAAGTTAATAAACTGATGGATGAAACAAGACAAAAAGATAATGACATAGAATAAAAAGAAACATAAAAAGAAGGGTTCCAAGTCTAAAATGTCAAACGCATTGCTTTCATTGTTCACTTGGTTTCTAGTACTTTTAAAAGAGCAAATATTTATAAAGATGTATTCATCCAGTCAAGCCTGTGGTGTGCCTCTTTCATTCAACTCATGGCTGCAGGTGAGAACAATGCAACTCAGACTCTGGAGGCACAAAGCTGTTGCATGGTGACACCTAAAAATGTCTTTGGCCTTTGGGCATTGACGTCTGTGTGTTTCATTAAGAGTGAAGGCCCAAACAGAGGTAAACCAACTCATAAACCACTACAGGTTTTTTTTATTGAGTTTGAAAAGATGGATGTTGGTTCTAGAGAGCGGATCGAAAATCACCCAGCAGAGGGAACAGATAAATGTAGTAAATATTTTTACGCCTGCCACAGGCTTCCTACACTGTACCGAACACTTGGGAGAAAAATCCAATCGGCTTTTATTATTTTCCAGGCTTAAAAAGTAAGAAAAGGATAAAAGTCAGCCAACAAATAAAAAAAAATATTTTAAACGTAAACCACCTATGATTAGTTGTCACATTAAACATGATAACATTTGATCCATACCCAGTATTAGCGATTCAGAACAAATAAATGCACCAGACTCAAAAAAAAGGCCTTGAGATAACTGAACCCAAAAAGTTCATAAAGAAGCAATAAGCAATAAGTCTTTATTTTAGGTAGATCGTAGTAAAAAGTGGTAATGTGAAGAACTTTTCAGATGTAATATGGTGTGACGTCACATGCCATCTCTCTGTGTTCTCCAGTGTTTTGTGTAAAAGCCAGGCCAGCTGCAGGATCATGTACCTCCATTTGAGTAGCGGCTACTCGGAGCTTTTCCATCAAAGGCCACCAGAACAGCGAGGAAAATGTCGGAAAGTGCCTCTTAGTTCTTTGTCTTACAGTATTATAAAGTTCTGAGTTATTGACTTATTCATAAAAAGCAACTGTTCTGATGTTTATCTATTTTATATGGACATTAAAGGTGACAGAGGAAAACAGTGGAGGGAAGTGGCAGCAGCGGGGGATAGGCGTCGCTTGTTACACATCTTGTTTTGGTTAACAGTTCAGCAAGTGGTGAGAGTTCCCTTTTTGCACCTTTAAAACTTCTACTTTGAGGATTTAGACAACAAAATAGGGTTAAGGAGATCATAAAAACTAGTTAACATGTTCAAACCAGATTAAAATCAACAATACTCAAAAGGCAGTGTGCCTGTCCCTGACTAAATGTACCTCTATTAGCTCAACCCTTAAGTTGTTTATAGGTTGCCTTGGTGACAGCTTTTTTTAAAGAAATTTTTTTCCCATTATTTTCTAGAGTTACTCAAAATCTACAATATGGAAATAATGTCTACCAGCAGGGGATCATTTATAATGGTTTAATCAAAGCTGTAGCTGTCTATAATCTGTAATAAGGGGATCAGACCTACATTCAATGGAACTGGAGTCTAATATAATGTCTACAGAAAATATTGTCCAGATGAGTGAAAGATGTCAAATCTAAGTATGTTTGTTCTTCTTTAGCACCATACCACATGAGGAATAGATGGAAGGTGTAGGAATGAAAAGGCGGTACTAATTGGTGAAAGAGTGAACAGACCCAGCTCTGGAAAAGCGATGCACAATTAATATATATTTATACAACTTATACCAGATATTCACATACATGGGTGCCTAAGTTGATGCTTTGGGAGCAACTATCCGCATCACATTCTCAGCTTTGCAAACGCTGGGTGATGACGATTCAGTTGAGTCTGAGCAGGTATTTACCCAAAGGTTTCTTGAATGATTTTAGGGCTCATTCTGTTGTTAATAATGACTTTTTAAATAACTTTGACTAGCCTCTTAACAAAGTCCCTCAATGCTCTTCTGGGATTTACATTGCAAGAAATCTAAATTTAAATAAGTAATTATCTCCCTAAAACAAGCATTTTTTCTTGAATTGAGAGACTTTGCAAAGAAACAAGACAATTTACATTTAAAATAGGAAAAAAACAATTGCATTGTCTTATTTCAAGTGCATATTATCTAATTATCTTATTTAGGAGTAAAAAAAATCTAATTCCACTGGAAAATCATCTTATTTACCTACTCAAATTAAGGGTAAATAAACTTAATTTAAGACATTTTTTGCTTATTTGTAGATTGTTTTTGCAGTGTATGTGTATTGTAACCAAAATGTGTTTAACTCTAAGAAAAAGCAGTTTTCTCTCTTAATCGCATCAGGCGCCAGGATCTTATATCAAATGATGAATCGGAAGGAGGCACACTGTGCTCTCCTGATAATCTTGCCGGATATATTTTCATTTTCCAATAATGTCACACAAAGCAGGTGTGCCTGGTTTTGTCTTAAAATACTTCCACATGCATGCACCCAGTTTAATAAGAAATTCTGTATGAGCTTATTAAAAGCATGAATCAGTTTATATTATTTTTATCTTTACAAAGTCTATTTATAGATAACTAGTTGAAATTATTATTTACAAGCAACATAAACCATTTTCAAACCTCTTTGTACTTTTCCTAAATCTCAAATCTATCTGGGAGTCCAGACCCCTAAGAAGGCAAACTCTGCTTTGTAATATTTTGTGAATTAAAGTGGCCGCTGTAAACCTGAAACACATCAAATGGACATAAAAGGGAATGAAAGTAAAGTTTTCAAAAATCAAGTCTGATACTTACACTGAATTAAACAGGTAGGCTCTTCCTTGACTTCCTTGAAATGACTGAAACACACAGAGAGAAAGAGAGAAAGTTAGTTGACATAAAGGAGCAACACCAACAGAGCTGAGAACAGGAATGTTAGCAAATGGTGCCCCGGGCTACTTTTGTTTTCCCCCCCTTGACTGCTGCGCGCATTTCTTCCTCCACCTTGTCAAGGTTTCCACACAGAAGGTTGGCGGCAGATAAGGAATACAAAAAAAAAAAAAGAAGCTCAGAAATGCTGGAGGACGAGCAGCAACACATCACAGAGCAGGCCTGTCAGTTGTTGTAACACCAGATCTTGTTTATTGGGAACTTGTTGTTGTACAAGCTGTTACATCAGAGCAGAAAAAACAAAAAAAAAACATTCAACCTTTAAATTTTTGCTTTGTATCTCTGCCAAATATTTAAAGAAGCAATTCTGTGAGAGGATGGCACAGGCAGCACATTCATGAGCTATGAGGAAATAGCTCAAAGTGTGTTTTGAATAAAGTTACTTGGCAAGAACCCATGTCATTACGTAAAGTCCAGATAGAACCATCATTTAAAAAGTCACATTTTCCTCCAGTCAGTAAAATCTAGAGCCTTAGTGGAGGTCAACTGTTTTTATTTTAATGCCACCCATGGCATCAAACTAATGGTGGTTTCAAATATAGTTTTCAGCTACATCTTAATACGGCTACCTGAGCAGCTCGCCAAACCAACTAATACTACTTTGTTCTATTCAGCTTATTCTTAAAAAAAAAAATTAAAACTAAAAGGAATAATATTGTGCCAATACAATTTGACTGTATGATCTGGTAAACTGTAAAGTGCCATGAGATGACATGTGTTATAAATTGGCGCTATATAGATAAACTGAATTGAATTGAATACTCTGTAAGACTACAGAAAATGGTGCTTAATGTGTTTTTTGTTGTTGTAGATTGCTCCCCTTAAATCGGAAACAACTTTTTTTCAAGTTTAGGGATGATGTGCTGCTTTTTAATTTCCTTTAGCCTACTTCATGCTGTTAGAAAGGTTCTTTATAAGTGATATCTTTAATTCTTCAGTTCTGGCAGTAATATAGCCTCAGCTTCACTGGTAAATGAAACTAAGCTTTCAAAAAAGGTTAACTACAACTAAACTTTAATTGCATCACATATCATTTAATCATTGAAAATTTTAAAAGCCAGAAAAAAATCTAATATGTTATCACACTATTAAATATTTGTTTCTGGATTTGAAAAGAAAAAACAAAAACTGTCCTTATTTGTTTTTTTCTCTTCACTGCAGGTGTTCATGTCCTACCCGTCATGTCCAACAGTTCGGTGTTTGTGTTTTTAAGTTTAATCTGGCCACACGCATGCGGCTCAGAGCACCAAGGCGTGACCTTTTAGCAGCACGGGGGAACTGGGTCAGTCCCCATGGAGTCGACAACAAGACCTCAACAGCGTTCAGGCCAGCGAGGGTTGGGGGTTAGTCCATGTGACAAGAGCTGGGTCTTTCACAAATCATCAGACAGGAGGGGAGGAAATCTTGCAGCTTTTTTCTTTTTTTTGTTGCTTGGTGAAACTGTGGCATAGTTACTGAGCTCATTCCCTTAAGCTGCTGCAAAGAGAAGAAGCTTGTTCCAAAGTAATCCAGACATGCAAAACACAAGCACAGGGTGCAAAACCAGGGCGCAGTGTTGCATCACAATGTATTTTTTCTTTAAACTGTGTAATTATACATATTAAAAGTAGATCTCTCTTAAAGAAAGCTTAGGCCAAAGCTATTAAGAAACCTGCTGAGGTTGACTTTTGCCATCTGTCTCAACACATGTCGGCTATAGTGGGCGAGGGTTCATCTTCTCTAAATAAAATCCAGTGGGTTTGATTCAATTCATGTTAGAGATGATATTAAAATGTCTGACATTACAGACAACATGATGCACGAGGGCGTCTCAATTCAAGGAAACTGCAAGGTATGGTAAACAGACAAATTAACTCCAAAAAGTCCAAAACATTTTAACCTAAATAGACAGTAAACCTCTTTGACTACACTAAATTTGCAACATTTATTCTTTGAAACATGCCAACGTGGGTAGAAATTATGCTGTAGCACTCGACACCTTTGGCAAAAGTTTTCCGGGAACTTCTGCAAAAGTTGTTGCTCAGGATTTCAGTATTTTTCTGCAAAGTTACAGCATTATTTAAAAACCTCTGAGGTGTTTTTTGCAGAGCTTAAAGAAATGCCAATGCACTATATTTTCAGTTTCTCCTCCTCCTTAAACAAAAAACGTTTGTAGGTTTGCTTCTATGACAACTTAAAGAAGAAATCCGTCAAATAGAACTCAAACTCAGACACAGACATGCTTTAATAATCCCAGAGGGAAATGACTTTTGTTACATGCTCCAGATATATAAACATTTATATATATATATATAAA